CCATTAAGTAAAGATAAAGGGTGAATTTTAGAAATAATGCAATGCAGATGCTGTAAGTCCAAGCATAGTTATCAATGGCCAGCAGTGTGGAGGGAAAAAAAATCAGGACACAATGTTTTTTGAAGCAGAACTCAAGACAGTCTTCCACCTTTCACCAAAGAAGTGCTGGGTTCCTCATAGGTTCAGTCTTTTGGAAGGAAATGTCCCAACCTGAACTTAATAGAGACAGTTGGTACAACTTCCCAGTAATAAATTTCCTTATACGTGACTTCCAAACACTGCTATTTCAAGGAGCAGACTAGGGAGATGACCTTTTAAGTATGTTTATAGAATGTTCCGGGTTCAAAACTACATGCATTTGTTTAATCTGAAGGTTTTACTATTGATGTCTGCGATGCATTACAAGCCTTTGGTTGGTAGAGAAGTCTATTGATGAATGTAATTACATTAAATATACCCCATCCCTATTTTTATATTTCATAGATCAGACAGCAGAAATGATTGAAAATTCCTGGCAGATAAATTCAGATCTTTCAGTGTGTAATCTACTTTAAGGACGTGTCATCAGAAAGACAGTAATTTTTAAAAGAATTGTTTCTCAAAGATAAAACTGAGTGAGCAAATCAGCATTGGATGTCTATATTCCAACTTTTTGTTTAGGCTCCTCATCCTCCCTGTCTAGACTCAATAGTTAGCAGACAAAGAGCAGCAACAATCTTCTGCAACCTTGATTGCTTGCAAAATTCATAGGAATATTTCAAACTAGTGAGGGCAGGAAACTTCTGTAATCTCTATCTTTATTGTTTCCAGTGTGAAAATAGTGTACTTAGCTCAAGCTGTCCTGTAAATCTTGGCCAAAAAGCAAGGTTCTAACATATGTACTTGTTATTAGCAATGAAAACAAGCTAATGACATTGGAGGTGTGGGGGAGCAGCCAGAAAGATATGAAACATTTCTGGGGACTGCATGAAAGGCTAAAATTTGCTGACTGGGGAAATCCACACATCTTAAAGTTGCCAACATTGAGAAGCATTGCCTTGGACCTTTGTAGGGCATTTTGTTGGGGAGATTTAATATATTATTTATCTTCTCTTACTACTTATTTTTCACCCATTTTTTTCTTGAAAGGGAACCCTCAGAGATTCCCATGTTCTTTTGATCTCCTTTTTCATTTTATCCTCACTATAGTAAGAATAGTGCCTCATTTAGATTATCTAGTGAACTCCTTGGCTCAGAAGGCATTTCTGAATATCTAATATTCAACATCTGGCATGCTATCATTATATTACTCTATTACATCGACGATATTCTCTCTCTTGTATGCATACACTATCATATTTACAGCACACTGTACTTGTGGATATTCTCAAGCGATAGCTTTGCAATAATAATGCTAGGTCATCTAAATTTTACTTTATAGCATGCCTAGATAGCAGTGATCTGGCAATGATTTCAAATGAGCTTGTTTCTGTATTAGAAATTATTCCTTTATTTGAATACCCAAGTTATGAGATCTATAAAAACACATCAGAGCATAGATGTATCTGAATATTGCAGAACTCTAAGCCAAAATCAGACCATATTACATTTTAGCAAATGTGTAAACTCAAGTCACTAAAAGAGATGGTAGTATTCTATAAATTAATCTACCCATTTTGTAATAATCTACTCTCCTTTTCTGTTATTCTGTTATACTCTGCACAAAGTTACTGAACGAACTGCTTCATTTATAGAATTTCTGAAATACATATTTTGAGCAGTATCTTCACATTGATCTTTAATAGAAGTAAAGTCTTATTTAATGATCAGAGTAAAATGGGGGGTTGTAGATTTTTGCTACATTTCCACATTATTCTTTGAATACCTAAACACTCTGATGAGTAAGGAAGTGTGTGAACTCTAATTTAAGTGTTGCCTTCAGTGGGATTTTTTTCCAAGGTAAATCTGTGCAAGCCTGTATATGATTATTGGACTTGCTTAATTTGGTTAATATACTTGTTTAGTAAATGAACCCATTTTATAAAGCACATATACATAGACACACACAATACCACAACCTCAATTGCAACTAATCAATCTTAGTATGTTGTACAAAAGGACCAGCTAGATCTTTCAACGATATAATTAATCACATCATACAAATCCAGGGAAAGAATTGCTTTCATCGATATTCATGCACAAATGGAACAATTATTGAAAATAGAAACGGGGCCTCCTGTAGCCCATCCTGACCATCTGACTCAGCTCAAGAGACTAAGGAGCCCAACTAGAAAATATTTATGGGGAACATTTTCTGTGATTCAGGAGAAAAGAGGGAAAGAAATCCTACTACCTCCCTGCATGATTATTTGATTCCTGCATTGAGTGGGGATTGGATTTGATTGAATTAAATAATTCTTTTGAACCTCTTGATTTTATATTGAATATGGCCTATTTTTCTATTAAATCCCTAGGGCCTAACATGCTCATCTAGGCATTGCCATTATGACTTTTCACAGTGTTCTTGAACTCTCAAAAGAAGACACTGAATCAATATTTGGTTCAACGCCTATTAAGTGTTTGATTAATGGACACTTTTTTATCTTTTCCTTTCATCCATCTGCTTTTCTTCCAAATTTGGATTGTTGAGTGAATACTTTCGCATAAGAACAGCTGAGAGGAACAGCTGAGAAGAATAAATGTTATAAAAGAGACAGACTGCACACTGCTGTTGAAATTTAGTCTCAAACAAAACCTAAAGCAGAGTTGTGATTATTCCTCAGGTAAAAAGATGCAGGAAGATTAAAAATGCAATTGATAGCATAATTTCTACAAGGATAGAAATGGGTGGGGTTTTTTTGCCTATTTCTACAATATGACTAAGATTTTCTGTCAAGCAGAATATGAATTTTTGGATACATACATACATACATACATACATACATACATACATACATACTTTTTAAGAGATAGAACCAGGACATTGGTTTACTGCCAAAAAATGAAAAGGTAAAGATGCCAAGCTGACTCCTTGTCAAGCTGACTCCTAGTGTTTACATGAACACAACTATCCAGTTTGGCAGTAGTGCAAGGTATTTGGCAGTGCCTTCCTCCATGATATTTTTTCAATGTTCCTGCCTAACGGTCTAAAAGAGTAACATAAAAACAAAATAAATGTTAATGAATACAGATGGTCTGAAACGAAACACTGAAATCTGGGGAACTTTTGTTAATCAACTCATGAGCCCTGCCCTTTCCTCAGGATATTCTAACCACTCTTTTGCTTTTTTTCACAGTCCTCACAAAAGTCAATGCTGTTTTAAAGGAGAGCTTGTCCATATTAGCTGCCTAATGGGCTTGTTTTGGACTGTGCTTAACTATGGAGGGTCCCCAACGATGCATTCCCTTACCTGATCTTATGTGTGTTTATTATTTCTAACTGCTTTTGTAGAATGTTTTAATTGTTGATTTTATTCTTTGCTACTTTTGTGTCAAATGGGCAGCCATATAAATTTGACAATTAAATAAATAAATATTTGACTCTAAACTGTGACAGTTATGAAGAATGGAGAGTGGGATAAGATAAAGGCAATATTATGAGGACACAATAGAAACAAAAGTTGCTGGGAAATGTTTGTGCCATGGTTACGAAGAAGTGAAATACACTGAAAGTGTATTTGAGCTGTCCAGTATCACATTTCTCCAATAATGCTATTCATTACATAGAAAGATATATATGATAGATAATATCTAGCCTGCCCTTTGCCTTGATATATTACTTTTATAAAAATGGATTTTCATTTTGAGGGGTGAGTCCAACCTGCACACTAGCCAGACACAAATTTACTAGTAGATGATCTCACTACTCAGTCACCTTCAGTTCTCTCTCAGGCTATTTACTTTTTTGCTATTACTTGCATGGAAATACAATATTTTTTTAAATTACATCTTTATTTAGAGAAGAAATCTTCATGTCTAAATTTTGTACATTCTTGCTTTTGGTACATGGTTGCATTGATCTTTGCTCATAAAAAGAAACTGCAAATTCACTTACAAAGTCTCTTCTTTGTAAAGATCCCAATAATCCTGAAAAACTTTACTGATGTAATGCAGCTCTTCTGAAGTTACAGCTATGTCATGAGGTTCATTAAGACTGTCACATTAGACCCACTTTCTTGGGACTAAGCTCCACTGAACTCTGAGACATCTAAAGGCTTCAGCTCTATCAAGCAAGATTTAATACTATGAACTCATTTTGTATCTTCACAGATATGGGCACATTTTTGTATTCTGCATCTTTAGCAGGCAGATGGAGAAACTGTTTTATTTTTGAGATGGGAAAAATACCATTGTTTTTAATGTAGTAACAACACAGCATTGGTGCTCCAGGAGAGGGTGGGAGCAATTTGTAAATTGCTTCAGGTCTGTGGAAAATGAATGAAAACTTTAAGAAACTCTTCCGCTGGAGAAACTGTCTCATTTATTCTCATTAGCTGTTCTTCACAAGGACCATTTGCTCCACTGACTTTCATAAGAGTCACCCTGCCTCTTTACAAAACTCTGGAAAGTACTGTGTGATCCTAACACAAACCACCAAGTTTATGCCAAGAAACCCATACCTTCTTCCTGAAGAAGTGACCATTGCCAGATTTCTAGCTTCTTAGCAAGCAGATGTGCTCTGTTCAGTTTCAACTGCGCTAAAATTCAAGCTTTAGAGAGGAAGTACTGGGTGTTTTAATATAAATTATTTTGGAAGCATTCACCGCTATCAAAAGAAACTTTGTTTTAAACTTCTGTCTGAGGTGGCTTATCTTTGCTCTGCAGCTGCAAAATACCATGGGAATGAACTTCAAGGGCTGCAGTGCTCTGGAAGAATCATCAATCCCCGAAAGCTTCCACCCCACACAAACACATTGAAAATGTTCACCGGACCTATCAGATGAGAAGCTGACCCAGAAAGACAAGAACAAAAGCTGCTGTTGACTTGGCTGTTTTTTGTCTGCTTCTCTTTTTTTACTCACAGTTCAGTGGAATTCCTGGGGATGTCCCGTGGTACATAGGTCACCTCACTCTCCTGACAGATGAATGCCATTCTGTCCGAGCACTGACAGAGGGGATGCTGGCACCCAAAGCAAGCCCCCAAGAGGAGCCACAGGCTGAGGAAAAACAGAGCCATGCTTGCTTCTACGTTGCCCATGCCTCCCTGAGCAACTGGGAAATAAGCTCCTCCTGCCTCCCACCATCACTCTCTTCCCTGAGGATCCGCCTTCAAGATTTGTGGTGAGTCATGTGATGCTCAAGGAAGAACATCTCTGTGCATCAGGGTTTTCAGTCTATCAGGGTTTCAGGAAAGGTGGAGTTACGATGTGTCTGCCTCTGCTTCATGTGCTCATCATGTACTTTTTGCACTCTAGATCTGGGTATTTGGCATCAGTGAGAGAACTTAGCACACTGCAATATTCAGAGTAGTTTTGTTTGCTGACATTCATTTGTACTTACTCCCTATAATCCAGTATAGACTGACTTTCTTTATGGCAGGACTAGGAAACAATTTTTAAGCCAAGTGAATTGCCACAAGTACACTCTCCAAGGTGGGTAGGGTCTTACGAAAAATTAAATTTGATTAAATTTAAATCCACATGTAATTAATTGTAGTACATTTGATTATTCCCCACGGAGTTAAATATAGAATCCTGCTGTCACATTACCAATTAAAATTCAGTAGGAACCTTTGATGATGCTCATAGCTTGGAGCAGCCAAGTCCTCATGGGGGCCGCACGTTGCCCTAGGATCCCAGGATGAACTCCTCTGCTTTATGGGAGCACCATATTTCCTGACCAGGTTATTGTGAGCTGTCAGATTTCTGTCCTGTAAAGGAATATGGAAGCATCTCTGTTTTTCTCATGTTTTTAAAATCTACAAAAGAAAATGAATGTCAGGAGAGAAAATAAAAAGGAGCCTAAAAAAAAAATTATGGACATGATAACAGACAATGGACTCAGAAGCACGGTGAAAGAGAAAGCAAAGCAAAGCCATTGAGGAAGGAAAATAACAAAGAACAACTACTTTTCATGTACTGTAAATTTATTAAGCTTCCTTACACTTATTTAGTCCTATCCAACCAGGAATCATCTCTTTATCTTTATCTTTATTTGATTTGTATACCGCCCTACTCCCGAAGGACTCAGGGCGGTGAACAGCCAAACAGTAAAATACATAAATACAAAATTTAAAAACAGGATAAAATCGAATTAAACAATTTGGCCCAGACAAATTAAAACACCCCAATTATTTAAAAAACAGATTAAAATTTGCATATTAAAAAGAAAAGAGGGAAAAGATTAGGCCAGGCCCGCCTGGTAGAATAAAAAGGTCTTCAAACGCGGCAGAAGGTGCACAGACCCGGGATCCTCCGTATCTCCGGGGGGAGCTCATTCCAGATAGTAGATGCCCCCACAGAGAAGGCTCTTCCCCTAGGGGCCACCAGTCCCCCATGAGAGTTGTAATTCAATTCATCTGGAAGGTTGAGGAAGGCTGATTTATTTCAATATTTTATGATTTGTAGAAGCCCCCCCTCCAAATCTCATGCAGAAATTTTTCTTGTCACCATTAAAAAAAAAAACTTTTTATCAGGAGATACAGATTTTTTAAAGCCAAGGAACAGCTTGCTTTCAGAAATTGAGGGTGCTGCATTACTGGAGGTTTTTAAGAGATTGGACAGCCATTTGTGCAGAATGGTATAGCTTGGTATAGCTGGTGGGCTTGGGCAGGACGTTGGACTAAAAGACCTCCAAGGTCCCTTCCAACTCTGTTATTCTGTAAGTATCTAAGCCAGAGGGCCTTGTTTCTTCAGACCTCTCATAAATATGCTAAGATAGGGAACTTTGGAGCTGTTGTGACTGAATGTTTTTTTCTGAACCAAACAAGGAAATTAAATAAACATTCACTGGAGTAGACAACTAATATGTTAAGGAGAGGGCTAGGTTGAAATTCATCACCTTGGAATCTATTTTTTTTTAAAAAGTATGATAAGTTTACACTGAAATATGTGAAGCATCTCGTTATCACCTGCCCTTATATTTAATTCATTCAGTCCAAACTCATACTGGTTTATCATCTCATACTTCATTTGTGGGAAGTCCCTTGTTGAGGAACAGAAGCTTTCAGGTCATACTTACTGAAAAATGCTCCATAAATATTCTTTGACACAATGTGGTTTGCCATTCATTTCAAAGTTTGCCAAGTTTTTTGATAATGTGTATAAACAAACAATTTGTAGGCACATAATAAATTCCTTCTTTCTCTCTGACCTGAAAGTGGTCTAGTTCCTCTTAGACAAAGAAAGTACACTCTTGGCAAAAGTACTTTCATGTTGCTTAAGTGCTAAGAAGGATTGTTTAGTTAAGATTTAATCCATAGTGGTATTCAAAGAAACTTGAGGCTGAAGAAAGAGAGAGTGGAGTTATGATGCAACTGTGATTAACAGATATTAAATCAGGAAATATTTTTTCAGGGCTGAAATGCAATTGTGGGTCATAGGTTTGAAGGTCATCTTGGACCATTGGGATTTTCATTGTTTATTCAAACAGGGAGCAATTTAGATTCTGCAATGTTTCTAGTTAAATCACTTGGAAGTTGAATGATAGATAGGCTATAGGCATATATTAGAAGCTGGGGTAATGGAACAGGGAAGATGGACTCTTTTTAAATCATAAACAGGTTTTTGAGCCATTGATTTATAATTAAGACTCACTTTGAAGAGTGAGATGGGTGGGACATAATTTAAACAAACAAACAAACAATAATAATAATTGCAAAGTTTAAATTAAAAGCTGTGAAAAGTTTATGAGATCAAATTGTGTGTGTTTGTGGGGTTGGGTATCAGATGAAAGTTGCATTTAAAATATATGCTTATTTATTTTATTTATTTCATTCAGTTTAGGTGCCACCTGCGTCCAGACTGAATTAATAGGTCACAATATAAGAAGCAATAAAAATGCAATACAGGACAAAGTGGGGCTCCATGCAGCCTAACTCAAGACCTGGATGGCACATTTGTTTCCTCTATCACTGCCTAATTGTTAAAAAATTTGACATGCTCACAATAACATGGGACTCCTTCAAGATTAGAGATTTAACACCGTTGGTATTTAACACCAGATAAGTTATCTAAGATGTGTAAAGGTATGTCAAATATATGTTGGAAGTGTAAAAACAAAGAAGGGACCTTTTACCATCTATGGTGGACATGTGATAAAGCAAAAATTTTTGGACTATGATCCATATTTTAATACAGAAAATCTTGAAAATGGAGATAAAGATGAAACCAGAACTTTTCCTCTTGGGTCTAATGGAAAAAGAATTGGAGAAAAAGTTTGGAACTTTGTTACTATATATGTTGACAGCAGCAAGATTATTGTATACACAAAAATGGAAGGACACTTCGATTCCTACTATAGAAGAATGGTTGCAGAAGCTGATGGAGTTGGCTGAAATGGCAAAATAGACTACTCTGCTCAAAGAAAAGAACATAAGTACTTTTGCTTCCACATGGAAAGCACTTCTGATGGTGGAAAAGAATGAAACTTTGATTCTGGGTATTACAGATTAGACTGATAGACTTTTGTAGAAATAACTGGTTCATACTATTATGGTAAAACAAAAAGTTGTGATTGTTGTTAATGCCTTATTCTACTGTAACAGAGTCGGAAGTCAATGCTTCTTTTTCTTTCCCTACCCTTCCTCACTTTTCTTTGTCCTTTCCCCTTCCTTCTCCCTGTCTTCTTATTTATATTTTGTATTTTATAATACTTTATAACCTAATAAAAATGTATTTTAAAAAAAGGTTAGAGATTTTCTTCCTCAGAACTTCCTGAGATACTATATGACCATTCGTATAGCTTCTTATTCTCAAAGAATCCAGTGTTAGTATAAGCAACCAACCCAGTCGTGGTATTCAGCTGGTTCTACCCAGCTTGGGCGAACCAGTAGCGGTGGTTGCGGGAGGTTCCGCCCACCCGCCTGGACATCATGTCCCGTTTTTGATGATCAGCACATGCGCAGAAAACCCTGCACATGTGTGGAGGTATGCACGCTTACGTTTGTGAACCGGTAGCGAAGGTAAGTGAATACCAACCCTGAACCTAACCCCTGCCCCAACATACCCCAGTTACCTCATGTATTCTAAATGTATTGTTATTCTATTTGATAATACTACGTATTTTGTTTCTTGGAAATAATGAATCTTTGTAATCCCTTAGTAAGGGTCACTTGCTATCCTATGACCATAGAATGCCTGTTTCTGACATGGATCAAGAACAAGGAAGATTATTGCTCTCATGTCTAGTTCTTTGAGATGTCTAGCTGTTTATTGAGGAATCCATGATGTTTTAGTAGTTAGGCTTTTGGTTTGATCTAATAGGGCTTTTCTGAATGTGATATGATCAAAACATGCCATTTCTACCTGCTTATGGGGAAGAAAAAAAAATCAGGCTAATCACTCACCTTAGCTGCGGAAACAAATTCAACCCATCTCCCTCTTCACTATGACTTGTAAAATTCTTTGCCATAACTGATCTTTCTCCAGTTTGTATCATATTTTGAACTTTAAATATATACTGTTTATTAAAGACAGGGAAAATCTGAGCTTGAAGGAGACCCAAGCAGGTTTCCCTCAATTATATCTTCCTTTGAAGCTTAGTAAAAGAAATGGCAAATTAAAATTTGTTACATTCTCCTCAAAACTATGTAAATTAGGAATCCCAGTTGCTGGTTGCTTAAAAAGAACAATGAAAGTGTTGCAGCGTTATTGAAGACTATTTCTATTGACAGAAGGCAGTGAAAGAAGCATAATTACTTGGCAAGTATGGGAAGATGTTAGTGAGGGCAATTGAAGTAGCAAGCTTCATTGTTGGTTGAAATTGGAAATAAAACAACAACAACAAAACATAGAGGCACAATCAGCTGCTACCCATTGTGAGAAAATATTTGGCTTATGGAAGCTTAATGGAGAAATGGAAATATCAGTTGATAGTCATTAAGATGTAGGCTATGTTATTTTGAGTTTTTTTTTTGTTTTGAGAATTTATAAGATTGGCATTGCATTTTTTTTCTAAACATCTGTGAGAGAAAATGTCAGATGAGAAAGATAAATCTTGAATTAAATGTGATAAGAATATATTCAACCTCCTGTGCACGCTTCTGAATTTCCCAAGTTATCCA